AAAATCCAGAAGGAAGATTGTAAGTCTCCAAGTTGTCCCCTCGGCCCACCGAATTGGCAGATTGGTTGTATTTCAAATGTATTCCGTGACAGATTTTTACGCATCAAGCAGTGCGTCTGCTTTAAAAAAAAAAAAAAACAAGGTTTCAAAAGGGAGGATATTCACAGTTCCACCGTACCTCAACAATAAATCTGCATTTAGACAATTATGCTGCTGCTTTTGTGTAATTTTGTTTTACCTGATGATTCAATGTGAAAGGGGAGCGGTTAACAAGAAGCATATTTCTTAATTTATTCACATACTGTGTCACTTAGAGCAAGCACTGCTCCAACTTAACACTCTGCTTGGCTCAGCTCGTGCATTCTTTTGTTTCCATGTTTACTGTGTCGATTATTCATTTACCAGAGTGCATCTTAAACTAATTAGAGTCCTCACGGAGGCTTTAGGCACAGTCCGATTGCATTTGAAGTTTTTGTGTAAGCACTCGCAGTCTTCAGTCCGTGTCCTGTCTGTTTTTTAAGGTAAAGAATCCCGTGTCCATACTGGTAGATGCTGGTAGTTGAAATCCCCTCCGATTAAAGGTGCTATTGTGAGATCATTTCAATCTTCTGTGCAGCTGAAGGAGAAACTGTGATTGGAGTTGACCTAAAGCAGGAGAGCTGGATGTGAAATGACTTGAGAGGAGATGTTAGTCCATGAACTGCATAGACCGAGGATATTTTAGAGAATCGAATACAGCTTTTGCTAACAGTCTCGGTCAGAGACGAGACGAAAACTTTACGATGTTAAATCCAGTGGGAATTGTGTTTTTCAAGGAAAAATAAAGAACAATAAAAAATGTGAAATCGCCTATTTGTGCAAAATGAATAAACTCAATTCTACGGCATTTAGTTTTGTTATGAACTTCCCTCTGTTTTTTCTGCACGTTACAGCCGTTTGAAAAAGACAGTGGACAGTAAGGTGAGTGCAGGCTCGGGAGAAGAAAAGCCATCTTTAACAGCCGTGACCTGGAAGTCACGGATCTCTGTTTGACGCGTTGATTTTTTCCTTTTCAGATTTTCTGATGTGGATTCGCTGTTATGTTTGAGATCATGGACCTGCTCTGTGGCTTTAGCAGATGTTCTCACACTTAACTGTTGAATTCTATACAGAAGAGATGGTGAAGGAGTCAAGAACAGCATGTTATTGGAGGCCGTGGGAAAATAAATGGGTTTTTTCTTGAATTCGGTTTAGCTTTAAACAGATCTGATAGTCCTGGTGTAGAACTAACCTGTCTGAGGCCATTTGGGACAGACCAAACCATGAAATGTGGCTGAAAAACAAGCCCAAATCATCACCCTTCCTCAGTTATTTTTGCCTAAATGCGGTTTTGTGTACTCAAAACGTGTATAATGACCAAACGTTTGTGCTTTGATCTGTCCCTCAATGGACTACAGCCAGTTTTGAAATGGCCCTATGACCATTGCCCAATTCATGAGCACCAACAAATGCTTCCTGAAGATCACTGCTGATGTCTTTCCTCCTTGGCATTGTGTTGACGTACCTCTGCTTTTATAGAGGCGCTCACAATAACTGACAGCCTGAAATTTAATGAATACATCAGATTATCAGGAGCATGCCTATTACCCACTTTATACTTCTTAAAGTAACATTTGGGTTAGAAAAATAATGTAATTCTTTAATATGTGATCCTGTTGTTCATCTAAGGCTACAGTGAAGTCCTTTTTAAACTTGGTGAGGACCTGTTGATCCTAATTTACATTCATTTTTTAATTGAAGGTGGTTGTAGTTTATCAGGTAGCTGTAAATGTGATAGTCAAACAATGAAAGTGAACACAAACAGGGGTTTTATGGATTTATTTATTTTTTCTTCATTTTTAATTTAAACCTGAGTGCAGGAAATGGCACATTTTCAAATTGTACTGTAGACTTAGGTCTGGACAATTTCTATTTAGCGAAACAATTATATTTAATTGGTTATAATAATAATAACAACAATACTAATAAAAATCCACATGGTATAAAAGCATAAACTAAAAAGAGTCCATTTAATTTTTTGTATTATCTAAAGATTATCTGTCATTTATTTTTCTACTTATGCATACATGAGAGCATTATATAGCTATGAGGTTAGTGAGATAGGATTTTCCTTGAAAACAGCATATCAGCGACATGTTTTTGCGCATCATTTTGCACCTATTCTTTCTCAGTAATATAAAAAAGTAGTACAGTAAGTCCATTTGGCTTTATAGCAAACATGCCTTCAGCCATGATTGAAATATACATTCATATATTTAGTTGTACTAGGAGTACAGTTACATTAAATGGATTTCACATGACCATAAAAATATATATTCATATAAATCAATTGGTGATTTGGTAACCTAGAAAAAACAGACAAACACAGTTTTCCCCTCCTTCAGCTCTCTTGCTGTATTGCACTTGCTGGTGATGATGAATTAGCTTCACTTTGGAGGGAGAAAGCACCAGAGAGACTTTTGCTGCTGCGGCCTGTGGCTCAATTCAAAACTGTCCCCATTGCTCTCTCTGCAAAGGACTGTCCATGCGTTGGTTTCGGCCAACCGGAGCCACATGGAGGAAGTCTAGCTGCTTACTGTGTGCTCCCTTTCCACGCTATCGCTATGTTCCAGTAGAACTTGCTACAGGAACAAAAAACAAAAACAGAAAGAGACAGATTAAAGGCGTTTGAATTACTGCCGACCGATTAAAAAGCACCAGAGACGCCGGGCAAGACGTACAGGTTTCCACTTCCTTCTCACAGATGTAGCTTATGAGATCTTCACAGAAGAAATCGTTCCACAACCCTTGGTGGATGAGTCCGGCACAGTCCTCCCCTCTTTCGTGGCTGTGGCCCCAGTTGTCAGGTTGTCCGGGTTTCCAGTTCCTGGAGGAGGACGACAGGGGGCGCTCACACATCACATTCCCAACAAGAAGCAGGAAGAAGTGGATAAGGAAGTGTAGTAAATTCCATAAATTCCTTCCCTTTAAATGGTTAAACCTGACAAAAGATCTCTGAGGTCGACTAGACCAGTGTTTTTCAACCTTTTTTGAGCCAAGGTACAGTTTTTCATTGAAAGAATCTCGAGGCACACCACCAACCAAAAATGTCAAACAAATCTCTAGCCGCCTATAGTAACACTATAGTTATTCTTATTTTATTCTTATCTTATCTTAAGTGTCTTGAATAGGAATCGAATAAACACAAAAATGTATTTTTATCATATTTGATATTTCTTCTTTCAAATTGCAGTTAACATGTCCACTCAATATACAAAATTATATACAAAATCTAGTCATAAGGAATTATTACATGATTACGCCACCAGTCACTAGTACAGCAGACACTCAAAAATGGCATATTATTTGCAGAAAATTAATTCCTTATCAAAATTTTTTTTTCAACCAATTAGGTGAAATAGGATGATTTTCTATGGCACACCTGACCATCACTCGCGGCACACTAGTGTGCCGAGGCACGGTGGTTGAAAAACACTGGGCTAGACCTTCATGTAAAACGTGTATGAATGAAATGAAAATGACTTCTTAATCCCTTTTTTGACTGAACACCAAAAACCCAATTGGCAAATGATATCTAAGTTGGTTTCTTCAACAAATCTGCATCTCTGATTTTTTTTACTGACGTGAAAGCAGGCTCGGTCCCGTCCAGCCAGCGCCACACGTTTTCCTCCCCTCTGTCCGTCAGACCCATCCAGAAGTAGCCTTTTCCGAGCGTCTGCTTCTTGAGCCATTTCTGAGGGAGAGCAGAGGTGGCATCCTCTTAGACAACAAAAATCCTCAAGTATCGATCGGCCGAAACGGCCGAAATCTCTCACCTGCTCCTCCGTGTCCTTAATGATCAGCAGGGAGGCGGACTTCGATTCACAGGTCGCTTTGGCGTCGTCGAAGCTGTGAAGGTCTTTGGAGAAAAAGTAGCACTTGTTTCCGTAGCTTGGCCACTCGGCAGGGCACCCTGCAACACATCCATTGATGCATCCGTTTGAATTAATGCATCAGATGGCAGCAAATCATCAACGATTGCGGTTGGGCAATTTTTCTTTCCGGCCTGTTATCAACAACAGTAAATAAAATAGTTCAGCAGTTTATTAATTACTCCTGGATGACTATATAGTGTTGCTTTTTCAACGAAAAGGTATATTCAACAAGGAAATGCTGTGAAATTTGACTGTGAGTTGAAAACTAATGCATCAAACAAAAGAAAAAAATCATAAGCAAACAAGTCATGCATAATCTTCAATAAAAGGATATCCTGTATAAATAAGTATAATATCTTTCTATTGCTTGTTTGATGTCTTCTGATTATTGACTTTAAGGACTTGAATCTAATAAAATTGAGATTATTTATCAACTGGAAGCTCTACATTCTGAAGCTGCTTGGATGAACCAATCATCTTGTACCTTGGAGCTTAAGTCACAGACTGATGTTCGACTTTTCTCCACAAAATTGAAAAAATGGCTCAAAGACAATCAAGAGTGTGAGCACTAAACTGGCTTGTACTTTACTTTTTTTTTTCTTTGTTTTAACTTCTCTTGTTTCTTATGCATCTGTGTGTTGTCCCTCCCCCTTAATGCTAACACCTTTTAAAAGCCTAACCAGGGACGAAGGCTGCAAATTAGCCCATGGCTACAAGCCTTATGCACTTGGACATCGGCCACCGGTTTGGTTGCAATGTTTAATCGTACTGTCCCTGTCAAATAAACAAATAAATAAATAAATAAATAAATCTTGTACCTTGGGCCCACTGTGCAGGAGGTACTGCCTCATCCTGCAGTGACACAGGCCCAAAAGGATTCACCGGAGCCTGGAGCGGGAGTCCAGGTAGCCCCGGTGGTCCCGGTGGTCCCGGGGGCCCCACGGGTCCCGGCAGGCCTCTGGGTCCCTGCTCCCCAGCAGGTCCGATCGGACCACGGATGCCCGGTGGGCCTTGTGGCCCCTGTGGACCAGGTTGTCCATCTCTTCCCGGTAGACCGGCAGAACCAGGCTCTCCTTTGGCTCCAGGGGGTCCAGCCCTGCCCCCTGAACCTCTGGAGCCCTTCGACCCAGGGCTACCAGGCACACCCGGGAGGCCCCTTAACCCCGGAAGACCCGGTGGTCCTGGACTACCCTGCTCTCCTCTGGATCCTCTTATCCCCGGAGATCCTTTTTCTCCCTTTTCTCCCTTTTGACCCGTCTGACCAGAAGGTCCCTGAGGTCCTTTGTCCCCTCTCGGTCCTCTGGGACCAGGGGGTCCTAAAACACAACACGTACGGTCAGCAAGGGGACGATGCAAACTAACATCTCTTTCAAACAAGTCAAAACAACCAGACGTCTCTCACCCTGTAGTATGGTGAAGTTGGTTATTAGCTGTGAATGTTTGCTGTCGACCAGCTTCATCTCCTCCATGACTATGGACAGACTGGTGACTTCTTTGTCCAGACGCGCTCCCAGGTCCTCCTGCTGGGACTTCAGACCGACCACGTCCGTCCTCACGTCGGCCACGCTGCCGTTGAGGTTGTGCAGGAAGTCGGAGTGCCGGTCCACGGTCTCGGAGCAGACCCGCAGGGTGTTCAGGTTGAGGTTGATGGCCCCCAGGAGCTGCGTGGTGAAGCTGATGTTGCCGGTGACGCGGTCCATGTTCTGCTCCGACTCGTCCAGCCGCGCCTCCAGCCGGTCGAACTTCCCGGACGTGAGGTTTCCGAAGTCCCTCTGATTCTCCGCGATCTCCCTCAGCGTCTGGTCGTGGGAATCCACCAGGCTGCTGGCGTTCTGGATCTGGCCGGCCATGAGGGCCAGCTGGGACCCCACGTCCTCCAGGCTGTCGTTGTTGGCCTTGGCCAGCGCGGAGACGTTGTTGGCCACCAGCTGCAGGTTTTCCACTTTGGCCCGGAGCCACTCCGCGTCGGAGCGCGTCTGCCGGGCCGTTTGCTCGAAGGTCTGGAAGTCGCCGCGCATCCTCTGGATGGCCTGGCCGGCGTCGTCCACCGAGCGCTGCAGGGCGCCCACCAGGGCCCTCTGCTGGGCCTGGGTGAGGTTCAGGTTGCCGATGCTGAGCTGCGCCTGGTTCTGGAGTTTGGCCTGCTGCTGGACTTCCCTCTGCAGCCGCACCGCGTCCTCCTGGAGGCCCTGGATGACGCCGCCATAGGACTGGAGGGTGACGTTCACGGAGCGCAGGGCGGCCGTGTTGCCGCTCAGAAGTCTCTGGATGGAGCCCTGGCTGCTCCGGATGTCCGAGCCGATGCTCTGCAGCTGACTCAGCTTGACCTGGTCGCCGTGGACGCGCTCCTCCACCGCAGACAGCCGCCTCTGGAGAGTCCAGATGCTGCTCTTGAAAGCCTGAATCTCAGTGGTGGTATTCTCAGACTTCTCTCCCGTTTGATCATCTGTAGTTGTAGATATCGCATAGTCATCAAAAAATCTGTAATCCGTAGATTTTGCTCTTCCATTAACTGGGATACATACCCAATTTTTTCAAATCGGTCTCAACTGCTATTATCTTTCCTCCATAGTTCGCAATGCCTTCAGACACACTGTCCACTCTTTGCACCACTGCAAAGAAAAAAAACTGGCTCATTATGTTTATTTAATAACAGACCAAACGGGAATAATGTACCGCCTCCAACCACAGACATTCTATATAAAAGGGATCAGGGAGGTAATCGATGGGAGTCTCAAACAGATACAGCAACAGATGTGTCTGCATGTCCTGTAGGCATGTGAAGAAAGCGGACTTGATTAACGTGATCTCTTTCATTAGAAAAGAGATTACGCCGGTAACAGGACCTACGGAAGTGTAGAAAAATGTAATCTGGCGTTCGGGGTTCCAACTATAGTTGTATCTGTGACAGAAAAATATATTTGGATTCAGCAATTGGTGTGGTGGGTGGTCAGCAACAAAGACTAAGACCGGGGGGGGGGGGGCATGGTAGGACACAGGCCAAAGCCCCGGGGAACAGGAAGTGACCTGAAGAGGTCTTCAGTAAACACGCGGATCAAAGACGACCCACTGGAGACAGACACTGTTGCGGGGAGGCTTCGTGCCCCCACAGGCGACACCAGTGTTCATTTCCTCTGGAATGTGTCTGGGATTCCAAGGAAGCAGCCCACTTCTACCACCAGCCTCGCCAGGGGGACACTTCCTCCCGAGTGGGAATGGCATGGACCTCTCTGCTGGGAAGTTGTTTACCCCGGGAGGGAAGACGACAGTAAAGTCCGACGGCTTTCACCTCGCACCGGAAAAGCAGGATGACCTGTAAACCATTCGTCCCCCCCCCCTCTTAATTTAATTTGCGATGCCACAAGTGTCCTTAAAACGTGTCCTTAAATGAGTCAAGATGCTTTCTTGGCTGCATGTTTTTCATGATATCTTAATATTAGCTTAGCACACAGGCGGCTTTTAGCTGTAGCACCTTAGCAAAAGGCTACCTGGGATGCTACTTTGATGTTTCCTGGCTTTAAATTTGTAAGAATGAAACATTAAGTATATAAATCAATGAGTTGGTGACTCTTAGTACAATGAGAGGGAGTCTTGGGGAGAGCTTGGCTAGTTTTCTTTATGTTAAGTTGAAAAATCTGTTTTACTTTATGGCATATTAATTTTTAAAAAAGTACATAATGACAGGTCTTGGGTCTCTATACAAAAAATAAAAGTCCTCTGCAGTTTTGGAAATGATGTCTCCTTAGTAACTCATGCAGACAACATTTTGGGGAATTTCATTTTGGAAAACAGATGTTTAATCAATATGCTTGAAGTTATTTTTTGTTTTCTGTCCTTAACCGTTTAAACATCCCAGAAAACCCACCGAATGCCGTCTCATGTGGGACAAGCAAACAGATTAAAAACCACATTATTTGAAGTTATGAAGGAAAACAGTTATTTGAACAGGAAATGCTCCACAGAAAAAATGAAACGGGGCATATTTCCAGACGCGGGACTCCAGTACGACCGAACAGGCTCCATCCACTCACACACAAAAAAAACATTTCTGGGCCTTCTCCGGTTGCTCTTTTTTTCGCTGGCCTCATACACACATGGATCTTTTTTTTCAGATGGCTGCAAATGAAGGCATTACTCCGGCTCATAGGTCCAAATGCTGGACGAATGAGCTGCTTTTCACCCCCTTTGCTCTCTCTCCAGATTTTCCGTGGGTGGTTTCTGAAATAGATGATGTCTCAATGTCTAACTAAGTCCAACTTCCCCATGCAACAAATCATTGAAGCAAATGACGAAAATACTGAGCTGTAACTCAACAGTATTTACCAATGGCCTATAATAAGTCTGCACTATCAATTGTACTTGTGTTGTACAAATCTGGACTCTCCAGGACCTTTGTCGCCCTGTATTTTGTCAGCTGGCGATGCGGATTTGCTCTATAAAATTGAAAGCTAGCAAAATATAATCAATTATGGTGAGGGAATCGGGATTTGGCTCCAATTTACACCAGGAAAACAGGAAGTTAATGGCCCAGCTCATCGTTGGTGTTGTGTTATTGCTCAACAATTCAAAGATGTTTTAACGGACAACAGTGTTCCTTTAAAAAAAAATAACCATCACTGTCGGTATTTTCATTTTGGTTTCATAAGAATGTACAGAAAGAAGGGGTTTCTTGTTTGTTTACTTGTTTTACATTGAGGTAAAATATCCTTAGGACTCCTGGAATGAGCTCATGTTAGATATTTTTTTCATGAAAACAAACTAAAGGAATGTAGACTGTAAAAAGAGCATCAAAACAAAGCAGCTGGGGTGGTTTGTTTGGGTCAGTGTGTGTGTGTGTGTGTGTGTGGACAGAGAAAAGCACACATGTTAAGTGCATAGAGCACATGGGGTCTCACTACATAGCCATCTGGAGCTGGGAGTGTGTTTGAACTGCGGTTCCCTTGACACAGCCCCGCTCCGGTGCCAGTAAAAACCCGATTTCAGCGGGTTCTGCAGTTCACTCCCGGCTCATCTGGGATCCATTAGGCCCCGCATGAAAACACGCGGCGTGGACGGAGAGGGACGCCGTCCCGAGGCCCGTCCAGATAACTCCCGAAACACGCTAGCTTCACGCCATTTTTTTTTACCAATTGGGAATAACGAGGGGACAAAAGGCAGACACATATGGGAACGCTTAGCACGCTTAGCACGACTCCGCCAGGGACATTCGGAGGTCAGACCCGCGGAATATGACCGGGGACCGGTTTTCCCGAATTGGAAAAAATGAGATCGAGGAAGTTGAACTCCGCGAAGCCTGGAGAGAGTCTACGGAGGTGTGAGCTTTGGGGGTGATGGAAAAATACTGAGAGACGTGCGTGGGGTGGAGAGAAAAAGAAGAGATACTCACACCAGGATGGAATTTAAAGGGGTCTGCTCACTCGGATTACAAAGAATCGCTTCATTCTAGTGGGTGGGTTTGTAGAAATGGCGTTGACAAATGTGTTGAATTTAGACATTTTTTCTCTCCATTACAGAACAAGAGGAAATAAAACTAGCCCTTACACAAACTCTGAGAGGAAGCCAAGGAATCCTCGAGGAATAGACAGGACAGAATATGGAAGCATGCAAAAATCACCAGTAAAACAAAATGTTCGTGAAATACACGTTTAACCACAGCAGGTTTAGATTCTTTGCTTTTAATCCCCTCAGCAGGGGTAAATCTGACAAATTTTGGACAGAAAGTTTGGAATAGTTTCAGTCTGGGGTTTATTCAGTGGCATAATTAGAATAAAGGGTTTAGGCCAGCTAATGTAGACCAACTAACATCCTCAATTAGGGCTGAAAACTCTCATTTCTTATGTTATGTCCTTCTGGTTCCTTTTTCTGCTTCTATTCTAAGGGTGATCATTTAAGAAACGTCTAGGTTCGTTGTTAGATTTTATCACTTATTTACCTAAACCTCCTATAGAGCATTACTAATGAGTAATTTACCTGTCCATGGCCTAAAGTTAGTGTTAAAATGAGTTTAAGTTTTCAAGAGTAATCCCAAAGTTTGTAAAAGGCACTCTGGAGAATAAAGAAGAATTCAGTATCACATTTTTACAGATTTTTCTAATTCAAAAGCAACAATCTTGTGACAGAGTTAGCTTTTTTTTTAATGTTAATATAAGACACTTGCTTATGAACTTTAAAAAAAGATACTGTAATAACTTTTTGGCATTTAAAACATCTGTCTTCGAGTTAAAAAATGCAACATTTGGCTTTTGCCAGGATCTGGAGTCAGTTTCTGAAAAGTAAACTTTCCTAACAGGACACTGGCAGATGCAGCTTAACCTACTGTAAATATAGATATCACTCTTTACTTATATCACGTAAAATGGCAGGAATTTTTTTTAATGAATTATTTGGGGGGAAAAGTTTGTTTCAAACATGAACTTTGGGTCATACTTAGCTCATGTTTGCTCTAAAGCTAAACTCCATTTTCCTTCATCTAGTGCACAAAGTTGAGTTTTGAGCTTTAATTTGCTTTTCTGAGAGATTTGTGCAAGAAAAACTGCTTAATTTTCAAGTCGGTGTGACAGTTCCATTGTCATACTTTACAATCCTTATTTATGGATCAAGTAGCCAGAGGCCTTTTTAGGGATGAGGAACTGGAAGTGGACGGTCACAGAGAGAAATCAAAAGGTGAATTTGGATCCCCGTGATGCAACCCAATGAATTCGGCATTCCAGAAACAAAGAGCGACATTTTCTGTGGGTTCAACAGAGAGCAGGGACAAGAGGAGGACTAAAAGTAAAGCGGTCTTACCTTTATAACCGAGAACAGCTACAGCAATGGTGAGGAGAGTACAAAGCACATAGAGGAGGGCTATGGAGGTCTTCAGTGCCCATTCGTTCTTACACTTAGTGCACTGGGTACCCTCTTGGATCCCTGCGAGAAAACAACAAGAAAAGCACCACGTGATTGGTCGTATCTTCGTAAATTTTATCCTGTTGTGCGTTTTATGAGACTAGAGCTGGTTTAGATGGACGTCCTGGTGGAAGTCTGGAGTTTGCTCGGGACTCCAGGAGTCCCACATCTGGACAAACAGCCCCGTGGTCCACATTAAAGGAACCAGCGTCCCTCAGGGGACACAAAAACAATCCCCCCCCCCACACACACACACTGACTTGTTTACTTTCAGTGTCACAATTGTCCCCCAGATCTTGCTTTTCACTCAGAAAACCGTCTCTTTTTTAAGTCCGGGGAGCACAAAGATGGCCGCTTTCGGGGCGTCCGTTGTGCGTTTTTGCGTTGCTACGGATTCAAACTCGTACCCTCGGCTTTTGGGGACATTTATGAAATATTCCTTTCAGATTTTTTCTTTTTTTTTTTCACAACTGATGAATGGTTAGATCCACATCGCTGACGGGAACACAGCTGGGTTTAATTTTCAATCCAGGAAGTGTGTGTGTGTGTGTGTGTGTGTGTGTGTGTGTGTGTGTGTGAGCGGAGAGGTTGAAAGTGCAGTGTGTGTGTGTGTGTGTGCGTGTGTGTGTGTGGAAGCAGGGAGGGCTAGCATAAATGTGTCACTATCATGCAACATGGCAACACAATCCAAATCCCGTCCAGATAAGATGATTGGCCGAGGAGGGGAAGTTTACGGAAGTTGACCTGGAAGATACCAAAAAACGGGATTCAGAGCATGATTCCTCCACAGGCCAAATCTCAGATCCACTCGGTCTGGTGGGAGTCAATCCCAGAAGGTTCCTGAGGGAGACAATTAATCCAACCCTGTGTCCAAAGTCAGCTCCATGTTGCCAAATCGGAGTGTGTTGCTGATATGTGTGTGTATTTGTTGGCTGAGAAGTTACAATGCAGTGAAGTCCAGGTTTGAAGGTTGAAGGGAATAATGTCTCCTCCACATATTTTAACCTGCTGACCATCATTTATTCAGGCTTATATCACAAGACAAAATGTATTTGCATTTTTCCTTTGTTGTTTTCCACAAAGATATTAAATATAAAAAGTGAGGATGGCGACAACTTTGGAAACTCTTAACAAAAATCTGTGAAAACTCCATCTCCTTCTCGACAACTGACACAAATGGAAGTCAATCAAAATGCACTCTTAGACCAAAATGTCAAATAAAATCGGAAAAACATCAAATGTTTGATAAGAAGAAATGACGAAACACACGGAGCGCGGACTTGGTGGGAACTATACAAATCAAAGGGTCCTCTGATACAATGTCCACCAGAAAAATGGGCTCCTCATTTTATCAAAGTTATTTAGGGAAACTCTGTGAGGCCTACCGTGTGGGCGGAGCTCTGCATTAGATAAGTTACAAAATCTGCCTGAGAGACTATTTCAAAATCATTGAAATTGACTAAATATTCTTGGCCCACTTTTATCATGTAAAAGTGGAAAAAAATATAGAATTTATTCTCAATTTTTGTGGCATTGTGAATCCAGCATGTATTATATTTGACACACAGACAGCTAAATCATTTTTACCATAAATTGGTTAAAAAATGTATTTTTCTGAGTATTATTGACCTCAGGAAATTAGATATCTTCAGTGTGGACGACAAATGGAGACACCTCTTTCCTATAGCAGTTCTACATTTTAATAGAAATGTTTTTAATAATATTCTTACAGTTTTGCCGGCAGTAAATGAACCCTTGGAGATTTATTGCCAATATCTTTGCATATAAATGTGTTGGAATGGTCCTCCCATCCTCTAAAGAAACATCTGCACTCTGCAGACTTAGTCAGCAGAAAGCCGTTACCGCAAGTCGCCTCCATTGTAAGCGGAGAAGAAGTGCACCCTGGGAATACAGCCACAATAAATGACTGTGTTTCTCAGTCTCTCATAGCTGCTGACATGTCTAAATTGTCAGCTCTTTTGTGTGTCCACAATAAAACAAGCGTATCGGGCCGTTGGCTGCCGGTAATCAAAGAGCTGCCGCTAACAGTCCCAGCTCCAACGCAAACAGCCTGACAGTGTTTACAAATCCGCAACACAAAACCCTGCGTCAGGGTATAAGCCTTTTTTTTTTTTACTGCAGCCATTCATTTATTTATTCATATATTTATCTATTTGAATAGGGACAAAGCACATTAACTCATTGGCTGCCAAAGACGTCTATAGACGTCAATTCAAATACAACCGTTGACTGCCAAAGACGTCTATAGACGTCTTTTATGTTTTTCAATGCGAGTGGCTGGGGGACGATCTGCTAAAGCTTGTCCGTAAATATCAGGCTTCTAGACACAGAGTGTGTAGTAACAAATTTACCTCTAGGGGGCAGTGCCACTTTTGATGGGAGATGAGCATAGACTGTAGGCAAATAAGAAAAAGGTAACGGTTCGCTATGAGAGAAATGGCGCAGGTGAGACGCAAGTCGAGGAAGAACAGAATAAGGTAGAAACAAATGTCTTTTTCCTGTTGAAAGAAGAGAGTCTACTCTTTCTTTTGGTGTGTTCGGTGTTTACATAGTCATAGCACAAACTATTCTGTGGCTCTTGAAAAATCTGTCAAAATGCTCAAAAAACTCCGGCAGTATGGGACTCTCTGTTCTGAAAATGGCTGCCAGTCAATGAGTTAAAGGAGATCAGTATAAAAACAAATGTAGATATGCCGGATTATAGCTACAAAGCTAGTTTTCATCCGTAGTCCCTAGGCAGGCAAATACATAAAAAAAGAACATATAAAATACAATATAAGCATCACAAGGAAATGTTGAGAGTTGAGTGGTCACATGACTGGTTTGTTTTCATCCATAGTTTGAGTTTAGCTCTAAAGCTGATCGATGTAGGGCTCTCAGACTGTTCCAGATGTTAGTGGCTCTCACAGAGAGAGCGTTCTGACCAAAAGTCGTTCTTCTGTGAGGGACCTCACAGTCTCCTCTGGACACTTGAAGTCTTAGGTTTGAACAGGGTAGACACAGGAGTCATGACGTTCAGATGTTCCATAAATAGGTAGATGATTTGAATTCGAGTATGGGAACGAGAAAAATGACAGGCAGCACGTGGCTGAAACACCTGAGTTTCACGGCTCCTCTGGAGGGAAATAGACACCAGATGGAGGAGCTGTGGTCAGCGAACGTATCACAGGTCGTGACCTGTGTGCTGTTGGCTTCCTGTGTGGGCGGGAAGACGCTGGGCTGGACCTCTGAGTGAGGCGTACAGATGATATAGGAGACTTTAAAACACTGCTGTCTCTTATATGTGTGTCTGTTATCCTTCCAGGTCTAGTTTTTCCTGTAAAAGTTTTCTAAAACTTAAAACTGGTTTAAAACCAGCCTCTTAAAACCAGATAGCCATCTTTGAGAGACCCGACACAGTTGCCAACATGAACTGTTTAGATCAGAATTGAAAACGATACTCAGAAGTTTGGATTGAATATTAAAGCAAAACAAGACCAACACAAATATACTTGTAATATCACACCACTGAAAATCACAGATTTTACAAAATGGCAATACAACACCTTGGTACACCTTAGGTTAGGGTTAGGGTCAGGGTTAGGGTTACGGTCAGGGTTAGGGTTAGGGTCAGAGTTAGGGTAAGGGTTAGGGTTAGGGTTAGGGTTAGGGTTAGGGTTATGGTCAGGGTTAGGGTTAGGGTTAGGGTCAGGGTTAGGGTTAGACTCAGGGTTAGGGATACGGTCACGGTCAGGGATACGACATTGTTTGTCTTCCGATTTCGTATAGACAGTAAAGTTTCGTTTCCACCTCAGAAAGTTGCTAGTCGCATGACCTAATCAAAATGGTCGACGTGGATGTGGGAGGAGCTGGATATCCAACCGAGGCGTCTTATAGGCTACTCTGCGAAAACCCCGGAGTCTGTGGCCTTTCGTTTGGATGCTCGTCATTAAATCGTCCTTCGCCATCGTCCTTCCCACTGACCACAACCATGAAAGCAGCCGTGGTCCAGGATGCTCAGACCACAGCCTGATCAGCACTTTTACTGCTCACTAACGGCGTGGGGAACACAAAGGGTCTTTCCAAAACAGGAACAGCACCCAGCAGTGGGATCTCAGATCTTTTAGATTTTTTTTTCTTCTTCTTTTAACTCATTGACTGCCAGCCATTTTCAGAACAGAGAGTCCCATACTGCCAGAGTTTTTTGAGCATTTTGACTGATTTTTCAAGAGCC